ATGGCCTGCAGCATTATGCTCCAGCTTTGAATAACTGAGATTAAAGGCCGCATATTTTTTCAGGCACCAGAAGAAGCAACATTCAGCTAGTCTGCTCACTGGGCAGAAGCCCTTAGCTTCAATATCAGCTGTAGATCAGGTGTCACCTGTGGAGGTGTGTATAATAAGTACTACTAAGATAGTCAATTTTATTTTTATATTTTACATCTACTGACAGTAAGAAAAAACATGGAATGTTTATTAATGCTTTATGAAATTGCGTACCTTTTTACTGCACATTTCTTACTTACATTTTTTATTTTCCACATTGTTTTTTGTCAGCATTACATATATTTTTACTCTGATTTTTTTTTAGGAAACTTACCTGAAATACAAAAAAAAACTATGTTAATGACAATCGAAAAGCTTTAATATTGTCCCATTCCTGATAATTTTCATAAAAACTAAAAAAAACTTGCTCTCTGTGTTTTTCCCTGCCCATTGACACATCTCCCAAATTAGCCTAGCTCGTTGGGTTGTTTTCTCGGACACAAACATTCAGTGCATCCTGTTTGTGTGTGAGTAGGCTTAGCATAACAGCGTAACACGAAGGCTTTCAGAAATTAAAGAACACTAACCTTAGCTCTGGTCAGATCCAATTGGGAATCACTCCTTTCCATCCATCATTCATCTTCCATAACAGGGTTGCGGTAAGCCTCAAACCTATCCCTGGAAAAACAGGCCACAGAACAGGGAACACCCTGCATGGGTTATGCAGAACACACACACGCACACATAATGAGCGGTTTGCTCCCAGATGCTTGTTTTTGGATTATGGGAGGAAACTGAAGAATCCAGTAGAAACGCATGCAAACACATGGAGAACATACAAACTTAACGCAAAAACAAGTGATATATTTGCATCTGGACACTTGGTGTGCTGAGCAGATGTAGCTCATTACTACCATCTCACGCAGGAACACGGCACTTCCCTACATCACAGCAAGACTCTGATTACCCAGCTCTGACCTAACAACCTCCCACATATATAGAGCTTATTTTTATTTTTCACTGATGCACATTTCTTGTTGGATTTCACCAGTCTTTTGTAACTTCTCAGTTTTCTTGCTTGGAAGCAGATCAGAGTCTAGGTTCAGACCAATGATATTTGCATAGACTCCAAGTCTACGTTCCCAAACCAAGACTTAGTCAAACAGACAGATGGAGAAATACATACTTGAAATACTCTTTTTTGGCATTTTCTTTCATAAAATCTGATAAATAAGTTATTTTTTTTAGCCAAGATCCACGTTTTTTGCTCCCTCCCCCCAGAGCTGAGAGGGAGCAAAAACATGGACTGTCTGGCAGGGAGCTGGGAGGGAGCAAAAACATGGACTGTCTGGCGGGGAGCTGGGAGGGAGCAAAAACATGGACTGTCTGGCTGGGAGCTGGGAGGGAGCAAAAACATGGACTGTCTGGCTGGGAGCTAGGAGGGAGTAAAACCATGGACTGTCTGGCAGGGAGCAGGGAGGGAGCAAAAATGTGGACTGTCTAGCTGGGAGCTGGGAGGGAGCAAAAACATGGACTGTCTGGCTGGGAGCTGGGAGGGAGCAAAAACATGGACTGTCTGGCGGGGAGCTGGGAGGGAGCAAAAACATGGACTGTCTGTGAGTCCCCGAGGACTGGTTTGGGAATCATTGTTCTAAATCCTTTTCATACACATCCCTAGTTGTAGCTTGGCCTGATTTGGATACAAGATTTACAGAAATGCAAATCCTATTCTACTCCTGCAGTATAGCTCTCTCAGTGATCTTACTGACTGCCTCCATACCCTTCCACGGATACATACACAGCATTGTGTAACTAACAGTGTCCTTGGCTACATCTACATTGACCTGTCCGACCAGTGTCTCCCCTCCCAGTATCAGCTGTGTATATCACACATTTCCTGGTGCTATAAGTCCTTATGGTTGATTGCACCCACAGACTTTCCGGCAATTTCCCCCTTTCAGCATGTCCGTACCAACATGATTTTTCAATTCAACTTGGCAGTTACCCATCATGTACACAAAACACCTGATCCCCACTCAAAGTTTTTGCCATCTTGGCTCAACAGTGTCCTGCTGGCTTGGAGCCAAGATGGCAGATGGTGTGTCTAATACCAAACCTCCATTAACGTAGACATGGCCGAGTCCTGGTAGAATATCTAAAGGTAGACCGTGTGTGTTGTTACCATGGTGCCGACGTTGGAGGAATGAGCTGAGCTGTACAGCTGCTCATAAACCATACAATGGCTCTCTGTTTTATGACAGGTCAACAATGGCTCGGGTGAACATAAATCAATACATTTAGCTTCCTTGCTTCCAACACCAAAGCTTGCAGACAATCCCCTGTCAGTATTTTTGTCCTTTTTTTTTATTTTGGATGACTTTGAGGGGCGAGCTGGTGAAGGGGAGACATCTGGTAATATTCAAATTAGCAGCGGATTAGAACTGTGGATAAACCATTCATGATCAGGCTTGGCTGCTCTAATACAAATATAATTAGTTCAATTAAATTCTGGTTGGGAGGGGCCCTGGCCGCTGTAGGGCTAATGCTGTTTTTGGCCAGCAGGCGTAACATTCAGTAACTGTTGTTTCTCCGGCCTTTATTGCAATAACTAAATCACCTGCCTATGGTCATCATCAGTCACGATGGTTTTTACAATTAGATTTGACATCTGAGACGTGCACTTGAAAAGCATGATTTTCCAAGACGATCCCTTGGCTTAGTTTCTTTGAATGGACCTTATTAACCCAAAGCTGTGTCATGATGTGAGAAGACTCCATATTGACATGGGCGTCGCCCTCCGTACCCAGAAAGCCCCTGTGGCAGCCCTGCCCACACATTCCACGTTAGACCAGGGGAACGGCCGCGAGGCGAAATGCACGCCTCGACATACATGCGTGGGCTGACACTCTCATGGATATCTGAAGAGGCCGGATAGATTCCCATGGGACTGCTGGCTTGTGTCTCGCTGAATAGGCTGCAAGTTGACTGCTGTCATTTGACTCACTGAGTGAAGTCTCACGGTTTCAGCAGAAGTATCTGAATCTCTCAGTTTGTTGAACGTTCTCCACACAGCTGAGGCCATATATTTAGTGTAGGGCTGTTATCTTGGGAAATACAATTCGAACTCAAGCCATCTGCTCTTATCTGCTCCTGTGGGCAAAAGCGCACTGAAAATATGATATTTTTAATGTCACATAATTATACACTTAAGCCCTAGATAGGCTCATGCCTCCATCTCTTCAGATACTTAATCTTCAGGAGTGCTCATCAAACAGAGAGATAGTCCAACTCGGAATCCCAACTCTTCCCTCAAAAAATGACAATGAACATCTGTCGCGGCAGGAGAGAACGTGTCCCAAAACTGACAGAGTTCCCCTCCTCCCCCTGAGCTCCCTTTCATCCATCGCACTCTGCATATGCAAATAGCCGTTAGGTCTTTTCAGAGGGAATGCTGGCTGCGGTCCTTGTGCCATGCTCTGATTGGCTGCAGGCCTATAGGAGGGGTCATAGGAGGTCAAAATGCTCACATTCATTGGTTAAAATTATAAGAAATGTATATACCACTGGAAATTGTGACTATGGGCATCACTATATAGTGATCACTATATATATAACAGATACATTTGTTTAGCTAAAACAGACCCTACTTTGGTATTTGCAGAAATCACATGTATAAAAATATATATTGTCTGCATAAGTCACTTCTGTGTTTATGCACTAGTATTTATTTTTAAATGGCTTGTGAGGGAACTGGAAGAAAAACTATTAACCATTTAGTTATTAACTATTAATATGTGAAAACAGTAGGAAAGGCATACTATTGCAGAATTCTCTCATTTTTTAAATAAATAGGACAAAACTCATGAGAGAGTGCGGCCATGAGAAGGACTGTGGGTGGATAAGCTAACTTCTTAGACAATCGTCCGAATGGCTCGATATTGGCTGGCTTCATCCGGGTGGATCCTCTTGACTGTGCAGAGCGATAGCTGAGCCCTACCTTCAGCCAGCCCGTTAAAACCATCTGTCATTAAGCCGATTGCAGCACTCACTGCTAAAGTATAGTGCAAAACTCAGAACCAACGAGGAAAAGTGGGCTTGGCGCATTACATGGTGGCAATTATGCATGCCTCTCTATCACCTTAATTAAAGTGGTTAATTGGATTAGTAAGTAATTTGCATAGACTGAAGGCAGGATCTAAGAGGAGACGTATTTGGGTCAGATTTTAGATTGCATGCATTTGTAAACGGACTAGAAATTACATGTTATGCATCGGGGTTGGATCACTTGTGTGCCAGGTTGTCAGTTTTTGGGAGAATTTCCAAAATTTCAGCAAAAACCTTTTACTGTAGTACTTTGCCAACTGCAGTCATCCATTCATCCATCCAGCAGAATCGAGCAGGCTCACGTACACACGCGCTTCAGGGTCTATTGGTTTATGAAACAAAACAGAGAAACTCTCCAAACCAAGGAACTGCTAAAGTTAAAATGTCTTTATTATAATGACATGTCCTAACTAGAGTGTTAAACGTTTTCAACAGTCCAGTTAAGATATGTCATTATAATAAACTTAAGGAGCGCCTTGGTTAGGAGAGCTTTTCTCCTTTGTTTCATGGAATCTTTTCCTTTGCTATCAAGGAGCATCTAACTCAAGCAACATTTAGACTTTTCAATGTAGAGCACGCCTACACTGACCCTTCCAAAGCAGTCTATTGGTCTATTTATATGATCTTGGGGTGGGATGAATATATGAGGCTGTGAGAGGACCCCAGCAGGTTAGGAAGGCGTAAAAGATATGGGAGGGTGTGTGGGAGGAGGGGATAGTGATTTAGGATTAAATACAAAACTAATGACATCAATGTTCTGTTGACCTGCGTCCATCTTGTTTTTAAAATACGGAAATACCAAATAAGTGACAGTGTTTTCTCATGACGATTTACTGTAAACATAATGGCTTTTTTGTGTGTTTCAGAGAAAAAGCTTCTCATATGTCAGAGTGATCAGCCTTGTGACCTCCCAGATGAGTTCATTACAGCTTCCCGAGGAGGAGAACGAGCAGAAGGTGTAGGGCTCTGGACCATGCTTGAGTTTGTGTTTGTGCAATTATGCTTCCCAGTGCTTAAAAGTCTGGGCATTTTGAGACATAAAACAAACCCCTTTTTTCATTTTTGTCTGCCTAGACTTTCAGTTTTCATCTGTTTTTTTCCAGGGGGCTTCTGGGATTGTTAATTGGATTACAATGCCTGCCAGGGGGAAGTCACTAATATCGGAATATAAAAGTGTGTGTGTCATTTTGAGACGTGTCTGTTTACATTGTACTATGGCATAATAGACCTCTCCAGAGTATCTGACCCACCCCCCTCATACGGGGGCTCATGCACATCTACTCCCCCCCAGGGACAGAGCCACTCTCCTTGAAAGAGAGATGCTCATCATTCAGTTCCAGACAGCACCCCCAACTGCTGTCTCATCTGAATGGTGCAGGTGGAGACTGTACCTCAAGCTCCATGTTTGCGTTTGCAAGCACAGATCCACCATATAAGCGCAGGTTAGCATCTGTGCTTTAGGTGTAGTACAAATCAATATTCTCTGAACCTCATTATGAAATAACTTTGTCAGACTGCACACGGTCCCTCAGTAACCCTCAATTTTCCCACAATGCTTTTTCATGATTGCAATGCTCTTAATCTTATGAGACTGGCCCTTTGGTTGATTTCCAGATCATGGAAGGGAGAGCTTTTCACAGAGGGAAAAGGCCTTCGGTTAGGATGGAGTGCTGACCTTTGTTGATGGACTTGGACAGCTGAGATCACTCAGTCTAATCATATTGCTCCCAGCTTCCTGTCCAGCGCAACACAGGCAGGGTGACATCCCACCCTCAGATCCAAAGCTATTTGCTCTTTCATTTTTTCCAGTTTGCCATGCTGCCAAAATGGATCCCAATTCAATTATGTGCAAAGAAAAACTATCAGATGACCAAAAGCCACAGAGAACCTTAAATGCTTTATATTATTGTAAAACTGTGAACACCTTTACCTTCCCTGTCATGGAATTTGGGATACCTTTTATAGGATAATAGATAGAGATAGCAGTCCACAGAAAATATCCATAATGCAGAATGCGCCAGACTGTTATAATCACAGTGAGTATCGACGTGCCATTTCATGATTATGCAAGATAAATCTTTAGCACGATGATGTCTTTAATGTTCAAAGTTTGGAATGGAATTTGTCATTCTCATTTATTTATTTTTACAATTTCTATTTTGTTAATAGCTACAGTTTCAAGCATCTTAATATCAAAATCGTAGTAAAACAAACAAATCTACGGAATAGATAGATAGATAGATAGATAGATAGATAGATAGATAGATAGATAGATAGATAGATAGATAGATAGATAGATAGATACATAAAATCCAGACTGGAATGTGTGTACCTGTCCTGCAGGGGGCGTCTTGCCCCAATATACATAGGACTTGAAATTTGTCATGCTAATTTGGATTACATTCATACGTTATTTTTATACTGTTCTGACTCCTAGAAAACTGAACTATTTTTGTGCTTCTCCTAATGCAATTTTGTCCTTTAACTTTCGTTCGGTAAATACCAATAAAAGTATTATACTGTTAAAGACAGCTATAAGAGAATATATTATAATTAGAGAAGAGTTTTAACATATTCGTTAAGTATGAATATATGAATAAATTGATCATGAATAATTATAAATGAGTATTGGGACAATCAGACGTGTCTTATTAATGTTGCGACTGTGCAGTTAACCAGACGCTGTACTGAACATATGGAGGGTATGAGAAAGCATATAGTCAATTTCTTTTGTTGGGTTACTTATTTTGGCCGTCTTGGAATTGTGTAACTCAATCGAATTGATAGATATGTTTTGGTGCTAATTAACCCCACAAGCTTAATCTGTTTTCAACATCACCCTGTGCATTTTCCCCGTGCAATTTGGTAGTCACCGATTCATGGCGCAGATTAAGCGAACAGATGGGAGGCGAGTCGATCCCAATGTAAATCCGCCCTTTCCTACATTTATTAAAAGACGCCCGCTGACCGACGCGTACTCGGGATTTATCCCTCCTTTGTTTTTTTATTCCTTTCATCCATTACGACACATACCCTGCCGTGCTTATAGGAAGGCTAGTTAAAACGGGTCAGACTTGTGTAATTAATTATCTTTTAACCAATTAATTATACAAGGTCCCTTAGTCAAATTACAGTATATAATAGCAATGTGAATTTAATTGTAAAAAAAACGTCATTTAACTATACATTTATAAAAACAAGACACACGTTGACTATTAGCAAAAAGTGAAGTAATATAAACTATAAGGTAACTGATGTTATTATAATTAAGGCATCGCCAGATAGTAGGTGGTCACGTGATCTCCAAACGCCGTACCTGTTAAGGCGACGCCTCCCGGCTCTAGCCTCACCGTCTCGCGGCGGATTGCGCTTCAGAGTTACCGATGCCAGTCGGCAGTCCGCAGGTTGTCTGCGCTCCTCCACGCAAAGTCGTTCTTTCACAGCTTCTTTGAACGTGTCTTGGTGGATTTTCCGTATTCGTTTTCTTTTATTCTTTAATCAGTCGGTACTAAAACGTGAATGTTTCGAAGTGAAGGTTTAAACAGAAACCTCGATGCATTTTACCCGGCGTTCTTGTATTTATTTACAGCAAATTGCGGTGCGTTCTTTCCTATTTGTAAGTCAGGGCAACATTTTGAAATAAATAGGCAAACAAATATATTCTATATTATTTTACAGCGCTTTAAGATTACTTTGAGCTTGCGGACTGTTCCTGAGTCCACATCGATAACATGCACGGCACTCTCCTTGGAGAAGCAGCGTGACCATCAGCTAAAATTGGAGGTTTGGTGCTTTTCTCTAATTGTGTGGCTTTTGCAATCGGAACATGAAGACAGCGGTGGACTGGGTCGCTGAAGTTTATTTGTTTTGCTTTATACCCTGCTACTGGACTGCATCTATAGGAGGTAAGAGCTATAATCACGTTCATTGTGAATATAATTAGAAATCTGGCGGAGATTTAAATTTAATATCATGCCTCTTATTTGTTTGAGCATGCTGTATTGTTAAATACATTTTGCTCATTTTGGGGCAACGGCTGATATCTTGGCGCTTTTGAAGTACCGGACTGATCGCCAGCACGAACCTGTGGAAAAAACAAACCTAACAAAACTAAAACCTCAACTGTCAGAATTTCCTCGAACAAATCTATCTGGACTCGACTTCCCTCCAAGCCGTTTGTACAGTTATTGTAATGCTCTTTTTGGAACTGTACTGAATTTCAGGCTAAATGCACGCACCGTGATTAAATATTATAATTTAGATCTAAAATGTTAAATATAGCTAATGATAGGTTCGAAATTAGTTTGGAGAGACATTATTCATGCAAAGACATTTTAAATTTGAGTTTGACAGCCCTGTTCTATAGACGTCGGACAGCTGTCAAGAACGCAGAGAGGCATTAAGTTGATTTCAATGGGTATTGACATTTAGTTTTGTCGGCATTGTCTCTCGCTTCTTACATCTCTGTCAGACCTTGCATATTGCATGTTGTATGTGAACAAACAATCATTTGTTAAACGGATTAAACGTGACCGTTCCTCGATAAGTTCTTTGTGTATTTGGCACTCTGCAGATAGACGTTTAGAGTTAATTATGCTTAAGTAACCACATATCTTTATATTCAGATATTGAAAGAATTATAATTTTTCTCGGTCTCGAAACTCCATGATGCTTGGATTTCGCCGGTCCCTCGTCTCAGCGACTGAATAAAATAAGGCTACTCGTATGAATGAATATGAATTTAAATGAGAAAACACGCGCGCTACTTTTACTATAGTAAAGCCGCTGCGTCTGTGTTTATTTCATTGTGCATCTTGAGCAACTCCAGCAATCACATTGTTAGATGTGTTTTGTTGGGGTCACTGCGTGATATGTTTACATGTCAGCATCCGTGGTCATGAAACATTCATCTCGGAGCAGGCGCTTCAGAATACTATACCAAATATAGAGGCATCGGAGATGCTTTAACTCCAGTGATATTATGCTTACCGCATATGCTTCTACAATCTCGGTCTCTTAATCATCATTACTATTCCTGAAACCGTTTTTCTTTGGCAGTTGTTATAGTATAAACCTCTCTGTGGAAAAAGATGAGAAAATTGGCTTAGGGCGGTGCTGGACCTGGTTTCCTGTGCCTCATCTCACCACATGCTGCAGATTTGGTTTAGAAATTCTCCTTGTTGAACTTCTATCTCCAGGCTGTATGTGGGACTAACGCCAAGTCGACTCTCCACTTCATTCCCTCTGGTTTTTCTCTGGCTGATCTATCTTCTAAGAAACTTGATTAAAGGCAGAAGCTCAGTGGCTGGGTTTGTCAAACATTTCCAGACCTTTGTGGAGTGTACATTTGTGACTTCAAAGACATTGAGAACCAGTGCTCAACAATTTGCTTCACAAATGACCTGCAGTAATCTATGCTTTCATTCAAATGTAAGCCAAAATGCTCATAAAGCGTTCTGAAATTGAAAGTCGGCATCCATTTCCTGGCTCTGTGTTCCTATGGGTCTTCAACACTGGAATGGAAGCATTCTAATGTAATGTAAGGTGTTCTGTACCGATACACGGTGGCTGAATCAGGAAGCTGTTATCACTCTGCACATTTGAGACTGTCCAGGCTTCGGACCAAGGTAGTGGCAATGACATACAGTATGAGTGAGTCAGTAGGGCCCCGAGATTTGGCATTTGTTACAGCTGTGTTCCTTTCGTGTCTTGTATAATTTAAGAATGTCACCGTAATTAAATTCTTGGGCATGAAGTAGCACGGCTCATAAGGGGGAGACACCCTTCTCTTTGACTTTGCATGGGTTATGGCTCCAGCTCAATCCTGGAAGAATGATTGCCCATGTAGGGTTTTGGCTGGCTTGGGGGTGGCCGGTCTCTGAAAAGCGATGACTTAGATGGAGCTTCCGTAGCCCTCCTCGAGAAACCATGCAGAACAGTGACCGATCCAGTAAATAAATTGGGGTGGAGGGGGCCCAATTCAGGCTTTGTAATCTGAACCAAGCACTTAAGTCCACACCCCCTGAAGAATTTCTGCTAAACCACACATGTCTGAAATCTTCAGAACTTAAATCACTGATTTGTCTATAGTAACCTAGAGAGACTCGCAGGCGTATCTCCACCACTAGTGGAAAGCGTATAATGGGTTCTGTAATTAATGTGGTACAAAGTGTCTATTTAAAAAAATAATTAATAATAAAAAATGATGTTTCATGCCTGTTGGGTTAAACTTCAGACACAATCAGTTTTCACTTGCTGCTGTTTAGTATGGGATTAATGAATAATGTCCTGTTTTGGAACCTGTGTTTGAGTGGAGATATGGTATATGGTATGTTGAAAATTGCCATTTGGACTTTGCTACGCCTTAACGTTTATATAATGGAACACAGCCTGCAGAAAGCAGCTCGATTTTGGTTTTGCTTTGGTGCTTATTTCACCTTTTTTTTTTTTTTTTTTTTCCTTCAATTGCATTAAACATTTATAGGCAAATTGTATTGCTGGCAGATCTTGTTGACCTAAAGGCAGTTGAGGGTAATCAAATTACCGCTGTGGTCAGAACAGGAGCAATTGGCATTAAAGGTGTGAGTCTGACACTGGCAGCCGAGCTTCGGTTACGTAACACGACCTGGATCTGCAGCTCTGCAGCAGAGTGCCATACAGGTGTGCTGAGGAGCTGCCGTCTGCTGGTGTTCGTGATAAGGATGATATTAGCTGCAGTGCACCGATACCAAGCTTACTGGGTTAGTAGGCAGTAACTCTTTAGTTGGTTGTATTATTCTGTGTCTGTGCACACACACACACACACACACACAGGGTGCAACATAGTGACATGTCACGCACTTCCTATGCACGATCAGGCTGGCGCTTTCCATTTGCCGTCCAGCTGTGTGCCTGTATGGTCACTGTATCTTCGCTTTTTGAAGACCTTATCGTTTCCTGTACAGTAGAAGACATTTGTGCAAAGAACAGAAATTGAACTTTGCTGGGCCGTGCAGCGGTGGCCCGGTGGGTTTATAGATTAAACAGCTGAAATCTGAGAAAATACAAATGGCACCAAGATTCGTCCAGCTCACAGGCATACCTTGTTGCGGTGCTTCTCATAACAGTCCTTGGAGACCCCCAGACAGTCCAAGTTTTTGCTTCCTGGGAGGGAGCAAAAATGTGGACTACCTGGCATGGAGCTGGACCGTCTGGAGGTCCCCAAGCCCGGAGCAGAGAAACATTACTTTATTACACTTGCTGCAGTGACAGACTAAGAATGGCAACCGAGTGGATATCTCTCCCCTTCTTGGCCTGGAACTGCTGTTGACTAAAACAAAACAATGGGCTGTCACCAAGGTTGTGGACACGGTCCTCCCAGATTATCGGTCTTATCTGGCCTCAATGGAGCCACTGTTTGGGGTCCTGGGATTTTCGCTCTGGGGCCATGGACCCGTTGTCTTTGTGCCTATAACCAGGTTTTCGAGCCGTTTCCGTGAAAACGGAGCATACATCGTCTCCTGGAAAATAGGTAATTGGTTTACCATGGTTGGGAAATGCTTTGGCGTCTTTGGGATCGCTAGGCTTGCCTAAGCACGGGCTGAGTATACATGATGTACTCATTAAGCTTATGGAGGCTGACCTGACTTGGGTGTTACTGTGAGACTGGGGAGTTTTTACACAGCTTGGCTTAGATATTAACAGTGGATTTATTGCCTCCACAGTCAAAAAGGGTGCAGTAGTTGGGACGGTTGTCTTTAAAGACCTTGTATGTGGCCTGTAAGGGCCCACAGAGAAGCTGTGTGCCTTGGTATGATATGGCAGCCAAATGGCGGCCCCAAGTCAGCTGTCTTTGCTAACAAGCTTCGACAATATGGATGCAAAAAGTGGAGAAAACCTTCCCAGCCATATTCCTCGCTATTTTTTCCCCCCCACTTTTTATTGATTTCTCTGGTTTGGCCTACCTAGTCCATCTGTCTGTCTGCGCGTCTGTCTGTTGGTTTCTTTGGCTTCTGGTGTGTTTGTGTGTATGCACTGGCGACGAGGAAGCGTAATGGTGCTGTAAAGCACTTTCCGGAAGCGGCCCGGGGAGAACAAAGGCCTAACTGTACCCCCTCGCAGTGCGACTCCATCCCACAGCCTCCCCCATTAAGCTGCAGAAACATGCCAGTGATAGAAAAAATGTTTCATAACCAAATTCGTATGGAGATGATAAAATGCTTGTTGGGTCTCTGCGCGGCCTTTCATCCTGCTTTTATTGGGGTGGTCTAATTGGAGACTGAAGGTGGTAATTAAATGAATATCCCTGTGAAACAGATTATCCCGGGGTTGGTGTTTATAGCATAGGATTTTACCAACCCATGGGTGAACTGCAACAGCTAGACAAAGGGTGAGGGAGAAAATAAATAATTAGCAATTTTTAAAATAAGTTCAACTTAGCCTTGATGTCATAAACAGCCACTACCCAGCCTCTCTGAAATTATTTGAAGAATGAGTGAGCAGCTGTGGTGAATTTTGTCATTGTTTCCCAGGTTTTATCCTCTGCTTGACTGAAACCTGCGAAAAAGCAAACAGACTTTTAAATATTAACCTATGACGCATTGAAAATAAACCGAGAAACGGTTACCCTTCAATTTTTGTTAACCTGTACGTACCTGTAATAGTCTTCCAATGAAAAGGAGCATGAATAAATTACACCCGATTTTGTTAATTTCTCTGTGGAACTACATTATTTTCTGGGGATAACAGCCCTTTAATATTGTGGCTTTTTGTTTGTGAGAGGAAAGTTAAATATATTCAAAATGTTACAGATGAATAGGCTCAGGAGTTAGGTGGCATCATGGGGTCAAGTGAACATGAGACTGAAAACAGTCCACAAATTATTTAATTCGGTAACTGGAAAAACATTTTTTTTTTTGGATGTTTT